TACGAATAATAAAATTAACAAAAACTAGCAACGACTTGTTAAAAAAAAAAAAAAAACATCAATAAATTCCACAAATTCTAATGTGGCTTTTCTGTAAAAAAGGGAATATAAAAATGAATACCGGAATAATGGACAACGTCCTGCGTTTTAACAGAGAAAAAAAGAACCGATATATTTGAAGAATTCTTTGGATCATAGTGGACGGGTCTACGAACAGAGCACTCTCATTCAAGAATGAACGTCGAAATGTGAGCGTATCGTCTAAAAATACTGTTGGTGGGCCGAGGTGCGCCTAGCAACAGAGATTGCATAGAAGCATAACTATAGTGAACGCGCGTGTTTATACGTCGAGGCACAACGAGGACATGAGGCTACGGAAAAAAGGAGCTCGACAAACAAATCGTTTCTGTGGAATAAAACTTTCGAAAATTTCAACGAACAATCGTATCGAGTCAGATATTTTTTTCTTTTTTTTTTTTTTTTTTTTTTTTTCATTAACGTTGCATTCTGCTTCGACGCATTTACTCCGATCGCAATCGTTAAATTGAAAGTAGCACGTTCGTGATGGAAGCAGTCGAGTTCTCGGAGTCGATGCTTCGTGTTTCAATCAAATCGGAAATGCAAAACATATCTCTGCGTGAAATATCATCTTTAACTTATTGTATAGTGTGAAAGAAAAAAAGGAACTTGTTCAGTATGGTGTATAAAAAATACTTACGATAGAAAATAAAATGTATTTCACGTATCTAAAAAAAAAAAATTGTATTTAAAAAAAAAAAAAAAACGCGTTTCGGTATAAAATAATCGTACGGTTCTTCGAATGAAAAGGAGCAAAGGAATATTTTGAAGAGATATTGTTGTTCATGTAAACATGTTGCATTGGATCTGTCATTTGAATTTCCAACGTACCAGTGTGATTATTTGTACCCACTGAGGAACAAAAATCTGACTCACTAAAGAGGTTCTTGCGTAATCCTCATCTGACCTCGATTTTATATTCACCGAACGATCCAATAACTTCAATTGAAATTAAACGCGCTGCTCCGACCAACGTTCGTTGCATTTGTTTCTCATTTGGCGAGTATAATGGGGAACGCGGTTACGAAATCGCG